TAGCTTGTACTTTCAAGGCTAAAAGTCACAGTTTTAGCACAATTCATAGACATTTTGTGTGTATAATTGCAGTTTCGGTGGCCCCAACCCACTCTCATGATTCTTCAACTCGCGGTAAACAGAAACAGCGCCACCATGTGACTGTCTTTAAAAAGTGTTGTTAAGAAAGATTCAGACTATGATATAAAAAGTATTCTAATTGAACCTTATTAAGGCTCGTACTTTTTGGGTTACTGTCAGGCCAATTGTGATTCTGCTTACACCAGCTTTCAAGTTATTATTTACAAACACGTACGTGTTTAATTACATGTACTTGTAACTTCATGCGCACCTGCAGGAGCTGTTACACACATTGGTTACGAGCACAGGAGTTTACCTTGTTCTCCAGGGTAAGTCGTAATTTTGAGTTTGCATTGTGATATTTCTCATCTTCATAGTTAGATTGTATCAGGCTTTCATTTTGTTGTGCTGTTTATATGACTTTCTTTTAAATAATTACTGGCAAAATGAGTCTTCATCTGCTGAGCGTTCATGACAAAGTAGGCCTAAGGCCGGAGTCACTTAGTGTTACACTTACAGGATACAAACTTCCGTACAAACTTTGCTGCAGTGATTATCACAGAATAACAGGCTTCAAATAAAGATACATGTATGTACAGTAACTGAACTGTACTGTAACTGTTTTTCATTCAACTGAGAATTAAAATATTGGACCTCAGCTTAATTTATAGCTTATTAATAAAAAATTACTGCAATAAAGATTTTGGATTTCTAACCTCACCGTAGCATGCATGGATGGATTTATTTTAGCTGGGCCATACCATTTCTTTTGAAGGGGTGGCCATCATGTGTTGGGTAGACTGTACATGTATGTCAATTCTCTCAGTTTCATAAGTATTGCTACTTATTTATTTTAATTATTTAATTATTTATTACCTACAGATGTGAAGTTGAGACCCAAAGTCAAAATCGTCTTCAAGATCTTAGAGGCATGGATGCTCTCACGTGTAAAGAAAATAAAGTGGCCTGTTAAAAATCTTTGGAGATTGAAGGTAAGGACTTCCATTTGCAATGCATGTATTTTGAGAGCAATGTGGAAAACTGGATTTAAAGGAACCAGGAAATAGAAATACTTTTATAAATTTTACTAAAACCCTTGAAATTGCATCTTTGGGTTTCATTTAACCTGATTTTAAATTTTTGTTTTGCAATTTTAACCCAAATTTTGTTTTCATGCTAATGCAATTTGAATATTCATAAGCAAAATTACGATGTCATCCAAGGCAGTGAATCTCAATGTTGCTCTGATTTGTGCACAGAAAATTTCTAGATTTTTTCAACCACTGCTATGGCAGATTTTATTTTTTTTGGCAATTTATTGCTGTGTAAGAATATGGCAATAATCCAGCGAAAATCTTTTTGACAGAAATGTTCCCAGATTGCAAATTTATGATTCACAATTTGAACATGAAAACATGCAACCTGGACCATGTGTTCCTGGATTTACATCAAAGAAAAAGCGGCCTCACTTGTCCAGAAATGCTTGGTCAGTTTTTAATGTTTGAAAAAGTGCACCATTCAGTTCACGTTTGCAGCTCAAAAAAGATGTCAAATAATCCTCCTACATGGAAGAAGAGTACAGAGAGACACAAAGAGTGATTTTAAGAAAAATTCATTTCCTAGTTCCTTTAGAGAATATTGCATCACGATGCCAGATTTTTAATTTATCATCTCAGTAAAAGTTAGATCCTGTAGAAATATTGAAGAGATATGAATCATGGACAGGAAACATTCCCAATTTTGTTAGACAAGACAACATTTTCTTGCCTCTCTATAGCATTTGTACCTGACCAATATTTGAGAGAATCAGGATACTTCATTTTGTCCAACTGGATTCAAATCACATGCCAACTTAAGTCACAGGGTAAATGGCTGTTGTTGTTAAGGTTTTTGTGAACGATTAAAAGTAATTTATGTGTTGAATTTATGTCATTGCCAAGGACTGAGGCACGAACATCAATCCCATTTAACATACATGTAAACATGTTGGATATTAAAGTAAAATCTTTCATGTTCTCAGGCTTCTGATTCTAACACTACATGATGTTAGTAGTTCATAACCACATTTTTTTTCCTGCCATAAATTTTAAGTCAGTGAAGAAACCTTCTCTGTAGAGATTTGTACGTTCATGAAGAGTTTGAGAAGTTGCTTTGTAATGAGCAAGTACACGTTCATGTATTAGAGAATTTGTTGGATGAATTAGTGAAGCACATTTGTGATTTTTGATGCGTTGAGAAGAGTTATTTGTATTTTAGAAGTTCTTGATGTTTTGAGCAGCCTGAAGTATTTCAGAAGTTTGATTTGCACAGATGGGTGTAGTTGCCACTTTTTTATAGTTTAATGTTGAAAGTTTAATAAATTCTTCAAATGGAAATTCTTGTACGTATGATTTTTATGTCAAGATCTCTTCAAATGTTTTCCTTACTCTGGTCATGCTGGTTTGCTTTAGGATCATGCTACTTCTGGGTTGTGAAAATGACAGCTATGTATCTGGGACTGATATACAATAAATTTAACGACATCTACATCTATGTTGTTCACAATATCACGTAAACAAGTTTGTTAAAAGATCAGTATTTATTACGATGTCCATGTAAGCCATAACTCAATAATGTCCCCTGTGTTTTGTTTCTTTTTGGTTACAATTTCTTTGCTGATTGACACCAGGAATAAATAAAACGGAATCAAGCCACAGTTGCCTCGAGTCCATTTTTTTGGTCTGGTTTTTCACCTCCCATCCTTATTTTAATTGGTGAATGGATCTCCACCCTCCAGACAACTGCAAAAGGGATGGACCGCTATATAAACATCGCAGGTCTTTTGACCAAGGGCTGGACGAGAACGACGTGGTTCGAAATGACTAGCGAGCTCGCTTGAAGTGGCATTTGCGGAACGTGAAATACTCCAAACTGGTCATAAAAACAGAGCCGACTGTGTCTCACGGTTTGTTGTAAGCTTGTTGTAAGCTTGCTGCAACAACACTGTTATAACTACAAGCAACACAACTCAAAAGCTGAGCAAGCCGAAACTACTAGCCGACAGTTCGCTTAGCGACGTTTCTTATTTGTTATAAGTAAAAAAACAAATGTTACCTATCTAACAGTACGCAGATCTTTTGCGCAAATTGTTATTGCACTAAATTTAACGTAGTACACCTGCGAGTGTCTGCGATTTGAAACCGCATTCAACAAATTTTAAAAAGTTGCGCAAGGTATAGTTAATAAACAAGAAGTATATATTATTATTTAAGAATGGACAATATAGGGACAATTTTAAACTTGTGTAAAACGACACCCCCGGGCCGTTCAATGATCTTTTAAGCACGGTAGTTGCTTCTGGTGACTCTAAAAATACTTTGGTAAAGAGTATAACGTTCAAGAAACCGTAGCTTTAGACCTCACCGTGCAAGAAAAGCTTTTGCAGCATTATGAACTTAAGTTTAGCAGAGAAATTGTGACCATGGTGGGCGAGAGTTTATTGAGTCTTTACTAGTGTTATAGTCTATTGGATGTAGCTTTACCAATTGAGCTTTTGGGCTATAACATTATGCTAGACTTTTGTTGCCAACATTGATCACTACAAAACATCTTAGTTTCAACAAAAAATTGGTATTATTAAAAACAATTTTTAATGGAGGAAACACAAGAGCAACAACAACCGGCACAAGTGACCGCGAGCAGGACTGAGGCCTCAGCGAGAATCAACAATCCTAAACGAGGATTCACTCATTGGTGAAATACTCCAACCCAGCAGAGAATGTTTTAATTGAGTAATAAACCATTTAATTAACGGAAATGAAAGGGAAAAGTTTGACGAAACAAAGCTCATGATTAAAACAGAACTTGAATTAATAAAACTACCAAAAAATAAACTAGTCCAATTTGCTATAGTGATAAGGGAACAAAATGATAAACAATTTTTTACTGCATGCAGCTTGGTGGTTTCACTGCGAGACAGAGGGAAATTCATCACAGAAGGTAGAAGACAAGCTTTAGAATTTATGCAAGATGGATTTAACAGAAATAACCAAGACAAAAGAATTACCACCATCAGGGCAGCGACGCCGTTGCCACTGGGTAAAAGAGGACAAATCATTGTTCCACCCGGTTTCTACGGCGTGGATTGGTTTGATTTCATGTTAAACTCCATACCCGGTGTCAGTTTCAAAGTACACCGCGAAAGTAAAAACGTCGTGTTAATTGTGACTGACATAATAGGGGGAAGGACACGGACGGAGTTGCAACTCTGGCACTTCAAAGTGTTCGATGAGCATTGCCGCCCGGTAAGACTAACAATACCAAACATTCCCAAAATGCCTGATTACTGCCTGCAGCTTAACCGTACAAGTGAGGCCAGTAATATCCTAGCAGTATTTGTGGTGTTTTCTTTGCAATTAACTACAACTTATCGCCGTGGCCAGGAAATAGAGAGCGAAAAATCTTTAACAATAGATCTACTTTTGCCATCGTGAATAAACCTTTTGTTATTATGACACGCTGTTCCATTCTCCATGCATTTGGAGAATTTGGCTTAGACTAGCCACCAACATGGCTACCACCACTGGACAGTTTAGTTCATAACAAACAAAATGCACTATTTCATAACAAGGAGTGATCATGAGATCTCATAAATTACCTTTCTGTCTAAATGCTGTAATGAAAATGGTTCAAATAAACACAATAGCTTTTAAACAACGTGGCTATTTATTCCCAAAATTACTCCAGAATAAATGCATTCGATAAGGACAGTGACTGCACATGAACACTTTGGGTACACAGCCTAATACAATAAACGTGCATGCATTAAATTTGATGTTGTCTTATCATACCAAGAACCAACGATGGCAAGAATATATAACTTCCTGTACTGCAGTACACAACTTTTAAGGATGCAGATCACCAGCGAAAAATTGCGGCTTTTTGATCCTGGGGTTCAAAGGGTGCCTATGGTTGTGAAACAGGTGGTGCACAGCAAGCATTCGCTGCACTCTGGTTATGGACATACATGTACTAGGCACGCCAGAAGGCGGTAAATGGCCACATGTTATGGCCCTCCTTCTGTGTCCTTCCTCCATGATCTACCCAAAGGCACATTGATCCCCAATGTTATCTATAAAGACAATTACAACATGAATCCCTTTGAAATATTGTTTATTCACTGCTGGCAGTTGAACACCAGCAACAATTATCACAATTTGCGTTTTGCGCAGCGAGGGATACATGTTGAATTAAAGGGGTCAGCTCCATGGTCAGACACAGCAAAAAGACTTAAAATCGAAAATATAACTAGCTTGAAGTTTTCCTCAAGAAGATTAAGCTACTCAGGGAGAAAATCAAAATGCACGGAAATACAAAACTTCAAGAAATTAAAAACAACCAAGAAATTGGGACAGGGCAAAAAAAAAAATCCAAATTAATTTAACATCTCCCCAACGCAAACCCGTGCTTAGAAATAGTTGTTCGCAGTATCCGCTGTAATATCTGACTCAAACCAGCCAGACCTCACTGGCAACGTCTGTGGTTTAGTGGTTAAGATGCCTGCACTAGTATGCAAGAAGTCATGAGTTTGAGTTTTTTCACAAACTTTCAGGGAAACACTGAGTATACAGTGTTACCATACAGGGCCAAAAAAATATCCAAAATTAAACCGAGAAATTGAACAAGAAGTTCCAGACTGATAGAAAGCAAAAGTTATCGCGAGGGAAATATTAAAGGAAAAAAGGATCTTATGAAAAACTTGGCGAATAACCTTTAGGTGTATTAAAAGTCGCTGAGTTGTTGAAGGCAGTGAGCCCCCCAATGGCTCTGCCAGGGCTGCCCTGATACAGTATAAGAACTACCCCTATCCTCTCCTAGAACTCTGTGCCAAAAGTTACATGTATCTGCAGCTGGCCATTAAAAAGTTAGTGCAGGTAGAGCCGCATCTATTTTTAGAAATATTATAATTACCGCGTACTGTGATGCACCTCACTATGTTCTTTTATGTTGCTTTTAAATTAATGAGGCATATTACCTTATGTTTTACTATTTTTTTTACCGCTGCTAGTAATCGCCATGCAGGGATTGTTTTGGAAGTTGGTTTTAACCCAAGGTTACGACAAATTTATTTCCATTTCAGAGATGATTTTCATTTTAGAGATGTGCTTTCTTCTTCCCTTTGGCTAGTGAACCACCAGGAGGTACATGAGCACACCATATGGAAAAAAAAAAGAAAAACAAGGTGTTAAAACCAACTAATTTTAAAAACAAATTTTTAAAACATGCAACAATAACAAAAATATTGAATGATAAAAACAAAGTAAATACAGAATTTGTCACAGCACAGTGCGTCGCCTGTGAGAGTCAGAAAGAGGAACATTGCTGGTACCTTAGAACTTGTTGCTGGTTTTTCATATTTTGCATGAGTGAAGTGAAAGTACCAGCAGATTGTCAAGGCCTTGGCTAGTAGGTGGCAACTTGTTTCCTCATATAAAATAAGAGATTTAAAATGTTAAATTTTAAACATTATTTCCAGGTTGGTACCAAGTGGATATTTCATACATATTTTTAAAAACATTTTTTGCTGAGTAGGTACCCAGTAAAAATAGGCAAGGTCTAAACCCGGTATATTCCCCCTACTCCTAGTTACTCGGAATCCCAGTTTGCATTATTTACCTTTTTGGACTTTTAATTTAATTTTGAATTTTCTAACAGGGAAATCAAGAACAAAGAAACAGGACTGGATATCTTTGTTCCAGAATATCGCGAAGTCAGTGGAATGTTGATGAGTCATGAAGAATATCATGTGATAGTCATCACCAACTTGCCTTACTTCAAAACAATCAAAAACAAAATGGACAATAATGTACAGTTCATGGTATGTATAATATTTAACTTGGAAAGTGATGTTCTTGGCTCTAAAAGTCAAAAGAGCGTAAGCTTATACAGTTGTTGAAACGTTGTAAACAGTAGGAGGTGAGCGTAAATTCAAAAGTACTGAAACTAACACGGAGGTTTTATATGAGAACTCAGCACTCATATTTTTCTTGACATAAAGTCATCAGACCATCAGACTAGGTAACATAAAATTCACTCACTAAAACTAACATCATAAATTCACCGCCGGCTGCTTTGTTACAAATATATGTATATAATGAACGGATAATACAAGCAAAGACAAACTACATTTAGTTGTAGAGGTTTGTGAGTGTGTGGTTCTGAAAACAACAAGTGCGTGTTCAACATTTCAGTCAGTATGCTCTGTCTCTCATTAGGAGACTGCAGAGGTTCCCATGATGAAGTTGTTATATTGTTTCAGTAGGCGGTGAGGTGTGAAGAAGATCCAACCACTCGAGGAGTACAGATACAATAGAAGCAGTTTCACCATGGGAACCTCTGTAGTCTCCTGATGAAGGACAGAGCATACTGTCCAAAACATTGAGTACCCGCTTGTGGTTTTTTTTTCAGAACCACGCACTCACAAAAGAGAGATCCTTGCGTGGTGCTACTGCAAACCTCTACAACTAACTTACTACCTTCACCATGAAAAGCTTAAAGCTCACAGACTACATTGCTGGACTTGTTATAAGTTATATGCAAGATCAACATTTTACCGAACACAGTTGAGCCATTCAGTTGAAATTGTGAACCCTGGAACTTTTAGGAATCCTTTTTCAAAACCCTCTCCATTGAAGAGAGACTCAGAGGTAATACATGACACATATTCATCTTGGACAGATTGAGAATGTTTGTCCGTCTTTCTCCCTTTCATTAGGTTGTCAAAAGATACGGTGATTTTGAAGCACTGCATAAAACCCTAAGTGAGCGCTTTCCTGCAACAATCTTCCCCGATCTGCCACGCAAAGTTTTGCTTGTGAAGGATAGCACACCTCAGCAGAGGCGACAGTGTTTTGATAACCTGATGCGCTTCATTGCCTCAAACAAGAAAGTCTGTTGTAGTAATCCTGTGCTGACATTCCTTGGTAAGAAGAACCGATATTGAGTGTAAAGAGTTGTTCAAAACCACTGGTAATAAGAAAATCATGGTTTATATAGATTTGTTATTTTAAAACGTATTTGGAAAGCATACGTATCTATTAATATTTGTGTTGAAGGCACTTTATTGTTATTCCTGCCCATTGAGCCCATAAACATCGGGTATGGTGGCTGTTATCTGGGTCAAAGCAACATAAGGCAATACCAAGTATCTAAATTGGTTGTTTTATGGCCATTTCTACTCACCTGCGAGCCGCAATGCATGTAGCAATAGCTTAACATTAGTTTTCTGTCGTTGACTCTTTCCAATGTATATGTATATCCGTAGCCAAAGAGCTGGGGGGGCATCTGCACTCTTCGTTGTATTTGTAGTGTTTCTGATATCACCACAGTGCATTTTTTTTCAGGAGCTGAGCCTTCAGGAGATTTTAGGGTAACTCTTTGTGGTCATTTTGACTCCAGTTTTATGAAAATCGCATCTACCGTTCTTGCAGCAACTTGTATATATATTTCCAAGGCAGGTCAGCAAAAAAGTATACTTTTCCACTTGGTGTTCAATGCAGTGCATCTAGGCATGCACTGCAAATGATTGTAACAATAAAACCATACATCTGAGTGAGTTCAAACTTCACATTCATAATGCTAACGAGTGTCTTTACATGTATGCCAAGTTTAAAAGAAACATCAAATTCTTATGTATGTGTGAAGGCCAAAGTAGCCCAGCTATTCAAGGGTTAAAATTGTCTCAGTCGAAGCACCATCCCCTTTTGAGTAAAGAGTTCAAAATGTGTTTTATATTTCAAATAGGAGTTAAGCCAGAAATGATTCAGAAAGTTGAAGGAGAAGATGAAGAAAAGGACTCAAAAGAAGAGACCACAGATGGTAAGGAGTTGCCACAAGGACTACCAAAGAGAAGAAGTAAACTGCTCAGGTATGCTGCTTGGTACATCTTAGGAGGATTGAACTGGATGGATTGATTGTATAAGGGATCTCATAACTTGATTCAACATGAAGGATGGGACATACGAAAAAAGTTCCAAATCTATTTACAGAATTTTCCCAAATATTTAAACGGAACGGCCCCTTGTAGACGTTTGACATTTTGATTGATGCAATTTGGCATTCATTTTACTTGTAAATGATGCCTGTAAAATACAAAGGAACACCATAAATTTATCACTGGAAATTTGTGTCAATCATTTAAATGTACATTGTTCACAATTTGTTTAAAGTTTTCAGTGACACCATCGTAAGGATGGGACATTCCATGTTTAAAAGTTTATGGTATGGGAAAGTTTTCTAAATAAGGAAGGACTCTACTTAACCCATATCCTCCAGGTATTTGGGAAAAAACATATTGAAATTGGAGGATTTAGGGCCATTGGAACAAGAATCCAAAAAACGTATTGAAATTAGAGGATTTAAGGCCATTGGAACAAGAATCAAAAAAACGTATTGAAATTGGAGGATTTAGGGCCATTGGAACAAGAATCCAAAATGCGTATTGAAATTGGAGGATTTAGGGCCATTGCCACAAGAATCCAAAAACGTATTGAAATTGGAGGATTTAGGGCTATTGGAACAAGAATCGATTATCATCAAGATAGAATGGAATGCTGTGATTTGTGGTGGTACATGTACTTTCTATGACATGTGGGTGGAGTAGAATTTTGAAAAATGCTACAAGCAAAGTTTTTATTCATGCCCTCTCAGAACTAGTGATTTGAAATTGGTCTTGTCTCTGATGTTTACATGTAGTTCCGGGAGCCAACAATCCAGCTTATTTAGTGACGAGCCAGAAGATGAGTTTGATTTCTTCCAAGAAGACCCAAATACCACAGAAACAAATTCAGAGGATATTGAGAATGGCTTATTCACTGCAAACTCATTTACAACGTCCAGCTCTAAGGCCAAGAAAGGTGAGTGTTGTGATAAAGCAGGTTGAGAACAATGTTATGTGTTTGTATTCACTGAGCTATGCTTAGTATAATTACAGAATATTTGGCAGCCGTAGGAGATGGTCATGCCTAATCTCTGTACTAAGGATTTTTTACTTAATTTTAAGTGCTGAACCCTGTGCTTGCAGTTAAAATGGCAAATTCTGATCACAGAATAAGCCAATTTGGTATTTCAACTTAAAAGGCAAGGTCAGTCAAAAATGAAGCACCTGATGTCATGCTAGCTGGATGACATGTAGTGTGTATGAATCAGTGTATGGCTGAGCTGATAAGGCTGACCTTGCACATGGATTTATATTCTCAAATGACCTACAATGTGCTTCATGCGCTGTCGGAATACTAAATTGGCTTATGATCTATCGGTTAGTGAAGAATTATAAATGTTGGTCCAGGTCTGTCAACGGAATGTTGCAGTGAGTGAATACTTTTCTATTATTTCTGATTTTGCTGATAATGTGTGCTTACGTACTCGTAAGATTGTGGAGAGGTAACTGTGTGGTTTGTGTGGAAAGACAGAAGGACATGTGGTTGGGTTGGAGTGAGAAGCAGTGAATGAATTTTTGTAAAAGTTTTTGAGAAAGACATAGTCTCCATTACCCAACCAGATTGCATACTATCAGCGGAGAGGATATTCAGTTTCATTTTGAAGCAGTTGTTACATTTAGCAACAGTTGGATTTTTTGTTAACGCTGCAAGGAGCAAACCTGCTACTGCGCAACATGTTTGCCCTGCAATCAGCTGATCAGTCTCAAATCAGGTGAGAAAAAATCTTCAGCTTTCCTGAGTCTCTTAGCATAAGGTAGCACAAAGGCCTACATTACATGTTTTAGTGTGCTTGTAAAGTGAATGAGACTAAATCAATTTTTTAATATAATACTAATTCATCACTCTGACCTCTAAAATACCAAGTGCTTATTTTAGGATTTTTCAGTGGATAATTTACAACTGATGTTTAACATTAGGGATTCTATGATTTCTGAATGCATGTTTGCATAACAGTTGTTTTGCTCATGTGTAGAAAATATCAGGAGGAATAAATTTTTCACCGGTTCATTTGGAACAATTAAACTTTTGCATTTAACGAGCAAGGAATGTCTGGTCTTTTGATAAGGTCGTAATGACTGGCAGCTAGTTCTGCTTGTTATAGAGGGTGCCATCCATTTTCACATCTTCTTAGAAATCAGCTGAACTGGAAGAACTTTTGACCCATCGTCCTGGTCCTGTGAAACATCTGGTCTGTCCTTGGCAAGATATTCTGAGGAAGTAGCTGTTTGAGTTGGTCCATACGGCATTTACGTCAAGACTGTGCCTGTCATGAGGTAAGTACAATGTAGCACTAAAGGCAGAGATACATACACCAGTGACTTGGGAATGTTATGATGATACGGACTTGCAGCCCTCATCTTTTAAACCCCTTTCCACTAATGGAAATTAAATGGAATTCAAGATGATTGTAACAAAGTACATCTGAAATACTATTAATTCATCATTATCCACAAACAAGTCCCTAACCACACATTAACTGAGGCAATGACCCGGGCAAGATGTAGGCCTAGGAATTTAAGGTCTGAGACAAACAGAACCTTTCAGTGACTATCGTTTGACATTTTCAGCAAGTTCAGTTTCATAAGTAAACCTCTGTTGCATGTCAGGGCTTCAAGGAGAAAGTAGTTCTATTTATGAGCATTCATTACCTGAACAAGAAGTACTCTCCTTATTGAAAGACTTATAGGCTTGATGTTTGCCCTTAAGCATGATACAGGTATAATGTGTACTGCTTTTAGTAGGTGCATGTACTGTATCTCTCACACCTGTTCAGGTTAAGATGGAGCCAATATCAATCATTTTTACACATTTCCTACTCTTCACGGTTAAGGAGGGATCATACTTTGTGCAGCGAATGTTGACACCAGGCCATGTGAGGAGCAAGTAGTACAGTGTATTTCTAAGTCTTTGAGGTCAGACGCTGCATGTAATGTGTCTAGTGTACTTGAAGAAATAGCAGATACTTCCCTTCAATTTGCAGAAATTTGCTTTGATGGCCTTTTAAAACGTACAATCAAGTAATTTCATCATTGCCATGAATACCTGGACATACTTATTTCTACTCATGTGAAACCTGCAGAATCATATTTACACGTTAACATAAACATCTTTAGAGGTTTATTGCACAAACATGATATGACTGATGTATTTGGAGGTACACATTGTTCTGTCATGTCAACAAGCACTTTGTAACCAAATTGACGTTGTTGTTTCGTCATAAGTATTCTTTTTTTCCTTCGGTCTTCTGAAATCTACTGAATCCCGATACCTGGTTTTCTGAAGACTTTGCTGGATAGGGCCTACAGGCTATAGAAACTCTTGTCCTGATTGAGTGAAGTTCAAGAAATGATTTCTATGATTCAAATCATTTTGTACATGCCAGTGGATTCAGATGAAGGATGCTCAGTGTTTAGTACAGTTTTTAAGGAAAATATTGTCCAATTTCAGGGTAGATTGTTTGTTACCTGCAGGCTGAGGTGGGTCCGTGGGTGTTGTCGCCTGATGAGCTGTGGGTGGATGTGAACGACCTACATTTGTACAGTGCTATTTTGGGTGTTTTTCTAGGACCGGGCATAATAACAACAAATAAATAACAATTGTGTTCTGCACATCAAGTGCTCTTAAATCCTGGGAGAGACTTTGTCACTTTTTCTCCTCCTTAGGTCAATCATTGCGGTAACATTAGTGAACATCTTTCAACCTTGAGGGTCTTATAATGGCCAAGTAATCACCCCGTGCCTTCCAAAGCCGTTCATTGAACCCTAGTAACATAAATAATAGATTGTAAAAGGATTCCCTGGATGGATTGTGGTTTGAGGTGGGTAAAATCAGCCGGAGATGGGCCAGTAGTACCATGACTGAGGTAGGACAATGTCAGCTTGCTGTCAGCAAGAATTAATTTATTGCATGGACAACAGCAAGATACATCAATGGGATTCAATTTCATGACACATTTTCCTTGGGGATTTTTTTTAATACTTAAAGCGTTGTGGTGGTCAGTTCTATTTTAGTGAGCGCACAAAAATGATGAGCTGTTTGAGTCAGTTTTTGTAATTTCTCTGTGAATCCGTTACATTGGAGACCCGATAAGGTCTTGCATTTCAAAATAATGAAGCCTTCCTGGGTTGTTCTTATAAGTTTATGCTGAATAATAATAAAGCTCCTTAATATTACTTCTGTATGGGTGTGTTCTAAAATTTAGATGTATAATTTGCAGATCCTTGGTTGTTGATTCCTGCCTTTGTAATGTAGGCATGGTGCGTGGGATATGAAAACTATGAGCTAGTTAAGTGTTTGCGTAATCGAATGTGTAAATTGTTAATTTGTAATGGTCCAATACAGCCTAGAGGTGTGACACTTAAATATTGCGAGGGAAATGTGCCTAAATGGATTTGAAGATCACTAAACCGTTGAGGCTTGGACAAGACGGTTCGAGTTCAATATAGGAGGCGTGCTTTACGTATTAAGGTTAAGAGAGCTTGAAGGCTCAAAAGCACTCTAGTTCATTCCAGTCCAAGGCCTTTGCAGCGTGTTAAGTCTGCCATGTTGATTATGTATAAGTTTCCCAAAGGAGTCGATGTAGATCTAAGAATAAATTAGTCTATTGGTACATAATATCACATCATTAAGAATATCAATCCTTATACATGTATTTGCAGATTCTCCCTTCCTTGAGGCTTCATTTTTCTCATTTCTTTCATGATTTCTTTATTTTTGTGCCTCTGTGTTCTTGTTTTCGCTATATTTACTGTCTTACTCCCTTGATGATTACTGCCTGCTTGTTTTAGTTGGTCCAGCCCTCCTAGATCCTATATACCTGCTAGTCGTGAACCCCTCCTCTTTCCTCTCAAAGTACCTTCTCAGACTAAGAGACGACCCCGCCCTATTAGTCATGTCTACTCTACAGACTGATGTTGGAAGAGTGGAAAGATAATGTTCTAAAAGAGGACAAACTGACAATGTTTTTTTAAAACGTGCATTGCAGAAAAATAATCTTGTTAATTGTTCATTAGACGATTTTGAAATTAACCTTACCTTGAACCTCAACAGGGATGATTTATGTGTATGAGTCGGTAAAAATATTCAATGTTCACAATATGCGTGTCAAGTTAACCTTTCCTTGAACTTGAATAGAGGTGTTTATGTCGTACTGGTGATGAGATATGAAGACTCCGTTATGTCTCTCAAGTGTCAAGTTGTCAGTCTTCACTCTGGTGTTCCTTGTTGTATCTCTTGAAGGAATTCACCGAATGGGCATTGTTGGGGATATCATAATGTGCTTTCTCTCTAGGTTCTCCGTTGTGTCTTGTAGAGGTCTCTATCTGTAGTATGTCATAATTATGTCAGGTAGGCTTAATAAATCACAAGGCCGGCTGACATTTGGGAGGGCTGCTTTCGAAATTGTTAAAATGATTAGCCGAGATGTTGTCTTTGAGTGTTGCTACGAAATCCTGGTCAACATAAAGTCAATAATTATGGCCAAAGTGAGCTTCCAGCAAAATCTGAACATTGCTGCACGTTTTGTAGTCGCATCGCTTTGCCCGTTGCCTCTCTACAAGAGACGTCAATTTACAGGTGGATGTTGAAAAAAGCAAGCAGACATTTTATTGGCTTACATTTGATTTCCAAAGTAACTAAAGTTTCTTTCACAGGACGCTTTAGTTAGAGGAGTATAACGTGTG